CAGTGCACGAGTGTTCCTTTTTCTCCACATCCTCTCCAGCACTTGTCGTTTGTTGATTTGTTGATGATAGCCATTCTGACAGGTGTGAGATGGTACCTCATTGTTGTTTTGATTTGCATCTCTCGGATGATTAGTGACTTTGAGCATGTTTCATATGTCTCTTGGCTTTCTGAATGTCCTCTTTTGAAAAGTGTCTATTTAGGTCCTTTGCCCATTTTTTTATTGGATTTTTTATCTTCCTTTTGTTAAGTTGTATGAGTTCCCTGTAAATGTTGGAGAGTAAACCCTTATCAGAGATAACATTGGCAATATGTTCTCCTATGCAGTGGGCTTTCCTATTGTTTTGCTGATGGTTTCTTTTTTTTTCCAAACCGGTTTCGGCTGCTGATGGTTTCTTTTGCTGTGAAGAAGCTTTTTATTTTGATGTAGTCCCATTTGTTTATTTTCTCCTTAGTTTCCATTGCCCTAGGAGCTGTATCGGTAAAGACATTGCTACGATAAATTTCTGCTATTTTGCTGTCTATGGCTTCTTCTAAGACTTTTATGGTTTCCCATCTTACTTTTAAGTCCTTTATCAATTTTATTTTTGGGTACGGTGTAAGTTGGCAGTCTGGTTTCATTTTTTTTTCATGTATCTGCCCAATTTTCCCAACACTGATTATTGAAGAGACTGTCTTGACTCCATTGTATGCTCTTGCCTCCTTTGTTGAATATTAATTGAGCATAATGGCTTGGGTTGATTTCTGGGTTCTCTGTTATGTTCCATTGCTCTATATGTCTGTTCTTGTGCCAGTACCAGGCAGTTTTGAGAACAGTGGCTTTGTAATACAGCTTAATATCTGGTATTATGAGCCCTCCAACTTTTTTCTTCTTTCTCATGATTGCTGCAGCTATTCTTGGTCTTTTTTATTCCAGATGAATTTTTGGAGTATGGTCTTTGAAGTATGCCATTGGTATTTTAATAGGAATTGTTTTGAATTTTAGATTGCTTTGGGTAGTATGTACATTTTAATGATGTTGATTCTACCAATACATGAACATGGTATATTCTTCCATTTTTTATGTCTTCCTCTATATCTTTTTTCAGTATCCTGTAATTTTCTGAGTACAGGTCCTTTACTTCCTTGGTTAAAGTTATTCCTAGGTATCTTAATTTTTTTTACAATGGTAAATGGGATTGTTTTTTTTTTGTTTGTTTTGTTTTTTTTTTCTTTCTGTGAGTTCATTATTGGTGTATAAAAAAGCCATAGATTTCTGGGTGTTAATTTTGTATCCTACTACATTGCCAAATTCATTTATTAATTCTAGTAGTTTTTTGATGGAGTCTTTAGGGTTTTCTATGTACAATATCATGTCATCTGCAAATAATGACAATTTTACTTCTTCTTTTCCAATTTGGATGCCTTTTATTTCTTCTTCTTGTCTGATCAGTATGGCTAGTACTTCCAGGACTATGTTCAAACAGGAGTGGTGAAAGTGGCATCCTGTCTTGTTCCTGTTCTTAGGGAACATGGTTTTAGTTTTTGCCCATTGAGTATGATGTGGGTTGTAGGTTTGTCATATATGGCTTTTATTATGTTGTGGTATGATTCTTCTATTCCCACCTTGCTGAGAGTTTTGTTTTTTTTATCAAGAAAGGGTGTTGGATTTTGTCAATGCTTTTTCTGCATCAGTTGATATGATTATATGTTTTTTATCTCTCAATTTGTTTATGTGGTGTATCATGGTTGTTGATTTGCAGATATTGTACCATCCTTCCATGCCCAGAATAAATCCCACTTGGTCATGGTGTATGATCTTTCTAACGTAATGCTGAATCTGATTTGCTAGAATTTTGTTGAGAATTTTGGCATCTATGTTCATGAAGGATATTGGCCTGTAATTCTCTTTCTTTGAATTGTCTTTATCTGGTTTGGGATTAGGGTAATGCTGGCTTTGTAGAAAGATCTCAGAGGTGTTCCTTCCTCTTGAATTTTTTTGAATAGTCTGAGGAGGATAGGTTTTATTTCTTCTTTGAATATTTGGTAAAACTCCCCTCTGAAGCCATCTGGCCCAGGGCTTTTGTTTGTTGGAAGTTTTCTGGTTATTGCTTCAGTTTCCTCCATAGTTATCAGCCTATTCAGATTTTTTTATTGTTCCTGATTGAGTTTTGGAAGGTCGTATTTTTCTAGGAATATGTCCATTTCTTCTAGGTTGACCACTTTGTTGGAATGGAGTTGCTCATATGATTTATGATTCTTTGTATTTCTGTGGGTTCTGTTGTTATTTCGCCTCTTTCATATATGATTTTGTTTATATGGGTCCTCTTTCTTTGCTTCTTGGTTAGCCTGACTAGAGGTTCATCAGTCTTATTTATCTTTTCAAAGAACCAGCTCTTGGTTTCATTGATCTTTTGTAATGTTTTTTTGTTTGTTTGGTTTTTGTTTGTTTGTTTTTTTGTCTCTATGTCATTTATTCCCACTCTGATCTTTATTATTTCCTTCCTTCTGCTCACTAAGAATATGGAAATTTTTTCTAGGTTGACCATTTTATTGGAATAGAGTTGTTCATAGTATTTCTTTTACAATCCTTTGTATTTCAGTGGGGTCTGTTGTTATTTCACCTCTTTCATTTCTGATTTTGTTTATTTGGATCCTCACTCTTTGCTTCTTGGTAAGCCTGGCTAGAGGTTCATCAATCTTGTTTATCCTTTCAAAGAACCAGCTCTTGGTCTCATTGATCTTTTGTATTATTTTTTGTTGTTGTTGTTATTGTTTGTTTGTTTTGGTCTCTATGTCATTTATTTCCTTTGATTTTTATTATTTCCATCCTTCTGTTCACTCTGGGCTTTTCTTGTTGCTCTCTTTCTAATTCTTTAAGTTGTAGGGTTAGATAATTTATTACCATTTTTTTCTCTTGCTGTTTTTAAGATTCTCTCTTTGCCTTTAACCTTTGGCATTTTGACTATGATATGTCTTGTTGTAGGCCTCTTTGGGTTCATCTTATTTGGAACTCTGTGCTTCCTAGACTTGTAAGTCTATTTCTTTCACCAGGTAGGGAACGTTTTCTGCCATTATTTCTTCAAATAGGTTTTCAATAACTTGCTCTGTCTCTTCTTCTGGCACCCCCACAATGCAAATGTTGGTACATTTGAAGTTGTCCCAGAGACTCCTTACAATATCTTCATATTTTTGGATTCTTTTCCTTTTTGCTCTTCTGATTGGGTGTTTTTTGCTTCCTCATATTCCAAATTGCTGATTTGATTACATATTCACAAGTTCTAACATTCACAATCATTGCAATCAAAAGTATTTTTCTAAAACCATTTTTATTTTTGTATAATTTAAAAATTTTAAGCTTTACTAACTAATATGTTTGTGAGGTTTCAGGAGAGGTATATGTAAACTTTACTTTAAAATGTAAAATTTAGGTGTATGTTTTTTAATTAAATTTATTGGGGTGACAATGGTTAATAAAATTATATAGGTTTCAGGTGTACAATTCTATAGTAGATCATTTGTATATTGTATTGTGTCTTCACCACCCCAAATCAAGTCTCCCACCATCACTATTTATCCCCCTTATGCCCTCTTCTACTTCCGACCACCCTCTTTTCCCTCTGGTAATCACCATACTGTTGTCTGTGTCTAAGTGTTGTTGTTGTTGTGTTTTTCTTTGCTTAATCCTTTAAACTTTTTACCCAAACCTCAACCCCCTTCTGTAATAAAATAAATGTGATAAACTGTATGATTAAGGAAGCTCATAAAAACTTTAAACTAACAATTACAAATCGATACTTTCCCTCTGCAGCATCTAAGAGCCAAATGTTTTTATTTTTCCTTGGAATCGAATGACTTCTTGGTAAACTTACTATGTGAAATATTGGTTTATTTTCTAGTTCAGTCATCTTTGACACTTGACAGAGTGTTACTTGCCAAAAGGGTTTGCAGTACATTTTAGCCTCATAGGGGAAAAGAAGAAAAGGTTTAAAAGTTTTTAAACTAAGACTATAAGTGAAAAGATGGAATAAAATATATTTACTCCTAAATTTCTAAAAAAGTTAAGGTCTTATTCTATCATTTATTTATTTACAATATTACACTCAATAAGAAACCAAGTCTTAAGAATGCAAATAGTAAATATTTTTAATTCAGCAATCAATGTATTTTTTCAGTATATAAGTCTAATGATTGCCCTGGTCATAAGTCAGTCTATCTTAGCATGAATTTTTTAATAATATTGAGAGCATAACAGAAAACAACTTGAAATAAATGCTCACTTCTAACTATTGAATTTTGAGATGTGCCTTTTTCTAGTTTTTTTAATATCTCTTTTTCACATAAATGTAAATTTATAGAGACATAAAATTACTGGTGTAGTATAATATCTTCATGGTGAATAGAACAAAAGTCATATTTATGCTTATCTTTAAGAGGTTATATTTGTTCCTTAAAACAAGTGCTTTCCAATTCCTTATGTTCTCTTTTTTGCTCTTGGCCCTTTGATGATCTTTCAGGATACATGTTTCGCCCAGATTATTCAGGCCATGCAACTGAATCTGAAAGATAGGCTGCATCAGGGCTATAGGATGTCACGAGTACTTGTAGCTTGCTCTGTTTTCTTTGACCCCAGAAGGAGCAGTTTTTCTTGATGTGTCTATAGATGTGGATGGAACAAGATACTAATGTCTGAAAGGAAAAGTGCAAGGAACAAAGGCAAAAGATGGAAAAGTGTATCAGCTTTCTCCTGTTTTTCAATGATAATCAACTGTATTAATGAACGCATTTTCCTTATTCATATACAAATGACAGTGAATTTCATACAATAAGATTATGGACTCCACATAACTTTTGAATAAGGTGGTATTTTTTCCTACTATTTTTGGGATAATTTATGAAAAGAGTTCAATTACTTTCTAACAATATATTGAATAAATGAAATCAGTCCTAAAATCTGATTGTACACTCTGACCAGTTTGCAACATGAAAAAAATAATGTAAGTCCCCCTGTCTCTTTCCTAGGTTTCTGGATCATTTGAGAATTTTACTGGCTGCATAGAAGTTGTAGAAATCAATAACTGGGGATCTTTCATTCCATCCAAGGCAGTGAAAAAAATTCACATTAATAACTGTAGGTAAAATACCACTAATGAATTTTCAAATAATTGTTCAAATAACCACATCAAAAGATAAGATTTCCATTTGAAATAATCTAATCATTTAGTTGTTCTTCACACTTCCACATTCTAATTTACTTTCTTGCAGACTATAGAACTTTAAGCTCTATCCCAATTAAGTTGGAACATTTATTTATAATCAGTTTCTTCTTTATACTGATAAGAAACATCATATCTACCAAAAAAAAATCAGTGAGTTGGATTAGAAAACATCATCTCTCAGTATTTAAGTACAAGCACACTGATAGTCATGCAGGCGGTATATTGCTCAGAGTGCTAAAATGTATTTTTCTGCTACTATATCTCTCTCAAAAAGTTGTCCTTGTGCTTGAATGTCCATCTTAGTGACACATTCTTTTCAGATAACCTTCTCTGGTTATAGAAATCTCTACCTATGTTGGGGGGAAGAGCTAGTACAGTTGACTCAGTATTAGGCATTAAAACATTAGTATAAATTTGTTTTTTAAAAAACTCCCTTACAGTTAAGAAAAAAGGATCATTTTTGGAGCTTTATAGTGCATTGTTATATGTTCTCACAAGTTAGGTAGGATGGATGGCAGGGTGGGGCATGGTGTTTGGTCACAGGATAGCCTAAAAGCTTAAAAACATATTAATTTATTCTACCAAAATTTTTTTTAAGTACTGAAATCTTTCTGTGCACTCTGGTCCAATGTGAATAAACAGTCACACAGTGCCAGTTGTTAAGGAATTTATAATGTAACTAGAGGCCCAGTGCACGACATTCGTGCATTCAGTGGGTGCGGGGGATCCCTCATTCTGGCCTGCACCCTTTAGCAGTCCAGGAGCCCTCAGGGGATGTCCAACTGACGACGGCTTTGGCCCGCTCCCCACAGTCAGACATCCTTAGCACTGCCGCGGAGGTGGGAGAGGCTCCCGCCACCACTGCTGTAGTCGCCAGTCTTTAACCCAGTTTGTGGTTGAGCAGCACTCCCCCTGTGGGAGCACACTAACCACCAGGGGGCAGCTCCTGCATTGAGCATCTGCCCCCTGGTGGTCAGTGCACATCATAGCGACTGGTCATTTGGCCGTTTGGTCGATTTGCATATTACCCTTTTATTATATAGGATAGAGGAGCTATTGATGAAATGTTTAAATGAATATGTGAATATGAAAAGTGCTAAGGAAAAAAACATAAGGCTATGAGAACCTCACATATTTGAGTAAAATCAAACTTGCTCCTTCATTTTGTGTGTGTGTGTAGGGGGGTATTGTTTATATTTAAGAATTAAAGAAATACTTCAGAAGGTAAAATAATTCACCTTAAAATCTTTATTGTTGAAAGTATTATAAATGCCCCTTTTGTTCCCCATTGACCCCTTCTATCCCACCTCCTGCCCTAGACTAATGCATTTACAATATATTTGTAGCAACTATTATACAGAAGTAGACAGGGTGCTTTTATTTTGCTTGTTTGCCTGTATGTTTTGTTTTTAATCAAATGAAAACTTGATGTCTTACATTACATACATTAGATGGGTCCCAGCAATTTTAATATAAATCAAACACCCATAAGTCCTTATATTTTACTACTCATTCCTAATTTTTTTAAAAAGCATATGTCCATTATTTTGTGATTTACAATTAGAAGTATTTTCTAACAATTATTTATCCCTTAGATTCTTTGTTCTATACCTTCTCTGTCAAATACTATGTGATCTGTTAACTATTACTAAGTTAATTATGAGCAGTCACTAGGTAGTAAGTCCATTGAAAAGGATGCAGTTCTTTGACAATTTATATATTCATCTGCTAATTTAATAATATGATAAACATACATGTATCTATTATTTTTATAAAAGCGGGACACATTTTACTTTTGTTTATAGGAATAAGTATAAAACAAGAACAAAAACAAAAATTCATTGTGTAATCTCAGCTATCTTCAAGGCAATTGTAAATATTGTCTTTTCTTGGTCTCTCTTCTAATATAGTCCTATTTTATTTAAAATGCCATTCATTTGACCTTTATTTTGTAATATTGGTTCTTTAACCACTGGCTAGGACTTAATAATTAAAGCTTCTAGTGATATTATCTCTCCCTACAAAATCCAACAGAGCTGTAGACATATAAGAGGTATTTTGCTTATAGTTAGAGTTAGTACAACTGGCAACGATTAAATTTCTCTGAATATTTGCTCTGTTCCTCTCACCAACCTATACCACCACTTTATTTCACTTAGGACCTCCTCTCCTAAAAGATATATTATACAGAATTCTTTTAGAATATAGTTTTCAAAGCCGAATTATGCAAATTCCTGTCTGTATGACAGTGAGCAAGTTTTAAAAGTTCCCCATTTCTCAGTCTTCTCATCTATGAAATCAGAATAATAACCCTTGCTTATATGGTTGTGAAGAAGACAAAACTGGGCTTTCTCCTTGTTAAGAGCTCAATGACACTGGCCTTTTTTCTTTTTTTAAATTATATCCCATCTCCAGAGAGTTGCTTCCTCTAGTCCCTTTTGCAGCAACCTCTTCTCTACCCATCCCCCTCCCTCAGAAGGCTGGGCAGGCCTAAACTATACTGTCACCTCCTCATGGAGGCATTCCTGGACCAACCAAAATAAAATTACTCTATTTCCATAATTTTTTTGTATTCTTTATGAGACATATGACTGTTTGGATTTATTTATTTGTTTGTTTAGACGGTTCTTCTATGAGTCCCTTCACGGTATAGTGTGTGCTCCTTGTGGGTATGGACTATGTAGGCCATTCACTGCCATTTCCCTGGAATAGCAGATGTTCCAAGTTTTACTCTATAAAGTGGCTTGTAATTCTATTGTGTGATTATTTCTTCACACACATTTTTACTTTGAGATTCCCATTAGATTTACTCTACACAGTGATTCTGAAATATTTTGGCTTTTGCACTCTTAAAAATTATTATTGGCTACTAAGAGCTTTTTAAAAAATATACACAAATATAGCATTTTTATCAGTATTTATCATATTAAAAAATTGAGGAGTTTAAGTATATTTATCATTTAATTCTTGTAAAATAAAAAGATAAACTCATTACATATTAACATAAATCACATAGAATAGTGTACTTCTATAAAAATAACTATACTTGACAAACATAAAAATGATAGAAGAGTGTAATGTTTTACATACTTTTCACATATTTTTATTGAAGACACCTGGATTCTCATATGTACTTCTGCATTCAATCTGTCCAATAATTGCTCACTGTGGTAGTTGAAGAAATCTTGCCTCACACACATATATTTGGACATGATAGGGGATTATTAGAAGGCTTTTCAGAGAATTGGAAATACTTTTCTTTGATATTACACCAAAACTTGGTAATAATAGATTGTTAAAGGTTAGTTGTAATATGTAATGTGAAACCTTGATCAGTGAGCCTTTACACTCTTAAATTCAAACCCATTGTCCTATTTTACATTATTTAAAATCTATTTTTATTGATTTCAGAGAGGAAAGGAGAGGGAGAGATAGAAATATCAATGATGGGAAAGAATCATTGATTAGCTGCCTCCTGAACGCCCCCTACTGGGGATCGAGCCCACAACAGGGGCATGTCCTGACCTGAATCAGACACTGATCTTCTAGTTCATAGCAGTTAACTGCCATGATATTTTGAATTTAATTAAAAAACCTGACCTGAATAAGACACTGATCTAATTCATAGCAGTTAACTGCCACGATATTTTGAATTTAATTAAAAAAGGTCCACCGCTTGCATGTATAGATGCTTATGGCGTACAAATTTAAGTCGCCACTCAACCCCTGAGCCACACAGGCTGGGACTATTTTACATTTTGAATGGTTCTTTTACCCATGCATGATTTTGTACTATCACTTACAAAATATTGTTTTTGAGTTATTCAGCTGCCTCAAATATCTAGACACATCAGTATAAAATATCAAAAAAATCTTCGCTGTGAATATGCCCTTCAATCTCATAAGAAAAGTTTTTAACTATTGTAAAGCTGTCAAACTCACAATAGTGGATAAGATTTTTTTCCAAAATCCTAATATTTGCTTAAACGCTCAGATTTTAATATTGACAACAAATACTATTAGTTACTTTCTTTGACGTGACAGGCTCATTTTGTTTTTGAGAAACTCTCTACCTAATACCTTGAGTTGCATAACCATAGTTTGAATGTTAGTTGTTATTTCAAGAAGCTAGCTGGGCTCACAAGCTAAATAATCACATAAGTACTCCTCTAAGTACTTCTCCTTGAGCTCAGCAGGCAGCAGGAGTTGACTTTATGCATTGTCCCCTTTGCCTCACACATTATGAAGAAGGCATATACTTATAAGTTATAGTTTTAAAAATAATAGTTTTGCCACTGCCTCAAGTACAGTCTTGAGTAAAATTAGCACTTTTCAACTGTAAGTCGAAAATACTATACCTATTAATGTAAGTCGGTGTCACCATTTTTATTCATACTAAGGCATTATAGTTTTATCCACCATTACTCTTGTACTATCAGTGTGAATGTAAACACAGTGAAAAAGTCAAAAAGCATGTTGGTGTTATTAAAAATATTTTAACCTCACGGACCATATGAAAGATTGTTGGAATCTTTTTCATCACACTATGAGAAATACTGCTTTCCATTAATTTGGCATTTGGTTCCCTATTTACCTGATTATATCGCACAGGTAGTTACTGTCACAGTGGAGGACTATGTGAGATTCTGAATTTTATTACAGGGACTATAGTCCTACCATTTTATATTATAGCATTGAGATGCTACTGTCGAGAAGCCAAAACTAAAACTAATACTAGTCTCAGTCTTACACACATAAAGATGAATAACCCCACAGTTTGTTCATTTCTTGCTTGAGGCTCATTAATATATTCTCTTTATTGACCAAAAGACTTCTATGAGTTAATTCTTATTATACTAATTTTTAGTATATATCTTTCATTCACTTCAAAGCTTCTAGGAAATATTTCTATATAA